GAAAATAAAACAATTTAAAAAATAGCTGTGCAATGACTCTGTAGCTGATAGCTACAGCTCTTGAATATCTCGAAGAGCCTGACATATTCAAGGAGTAGGGGGGGAAATCTCTTTCAGGAGATTGCAGACAATCTTTGAGGGTGACATACATGCTGGGCTGTTTTGTTTGTTAGCCAATTTTATTTTTCTTGCTTCCCAAGTTTGCTGCTTATTAAAAAATTACGTCTGGGCAATGCTTCTAGGTGTGTTTTGGGTAAAATGTCTGGGGGTGTCAGAATCATCTTCAACTGAAAATGCAGTTGCCTCACTGGGGATGCGGCCCCCTCCCCATCTGTTCTGCCTGGAGAGCTCTGGCTCACCTCCATCTCAGCCTCAGCAGGAGAGGAGGAGAAGGGAGGTAGCTAGCTGCTTGTCTCCATCCAAACAGCAACGGGATTCCTTGGCCCGACTGTTCAGTAATTCTCTGCCAGCTGGCTGCCTCCTTCTCCTTCGGGAATGCAGTGAATCACACCTACTCAGTGCACTTGGCCCTTGCACATCCTGAGGGCTGGAGATCTGCATCTGCCAGGCCAGAGGAGCTGCAATAAACCTTCTGAGCATGGATCACGTTGGGCCATGCAATTTCTAAGTGCCTGAGGCAGGCTGCAGGGGAAGAATACTGACCTGGGAAAACCCTCCCGACTGCTCAGAGGGGGAAGCTTTCTCTTTCCCTTTTCATAGGGGGTCCTCACAAGTAGGCCCAGCAAAGAAGGAGAAAATGTGCTTGGTCTCTTCCTGCCTCCTCTCCCGCTGTCCTCAGGGAAGGAAAACCTCTACTCCATAAGCTCTCTAGCCGTTAGAGCCTTAGCAGAACACCAGGAGCGAGGCATTGGGTCACAAATACTACCAGGCACATATGTAGGGGGTTGCTTTAAAGGTGACTGCTGCAATCTCTTTTACCACTGGCATCAGAAGCGCACATTCCAAGGCTAGACCTTGTTTTGGAAGCAGGGAGAGCATAGGGTTTCAGCAGCCTCTAATTGGAGTGACCGGGGAGCCTTTCTGTAGATAGAGCTTCAGCATGGAGCCCCATGAGACACAGCAGAGCAGGAGGGGAGTAAAACCAATCCACGCAGCTTCCAGCCCTGCTTGGTGATGCTCAACCAGTCAACAGGCCCCTCTCCACGGGGAGGGCCCTCAGGTGAGGCTGGCCCCCTGTTCCGTGCTGCTGGTGTTCCTTCCAGCTTGGTCACGGACTTGCCAGACCACGATGGGGAGGGTGCAATCAGAAGAAAAACTGGAAGCAGGAGGGAGGTGTGCGGGGAGCCCTGCAGAGCTGTACCATGTAAGATGGGGATCAACCTGTTACCTTATTAAAATAGTCACGAACCCCCAAGCACTATAAACTGGGAAGCCCAATGTTGAAGTTTCTTGCTTACTTGGTGAAGAGTTGTGATGGCAAGCCCTGTCCATGGGCCCGGATCCTCCCCAGCACCCCCACCGCCTTGGGGGTGCTCAGCCTTTGTGCCAGCTAGAGCCCGCCCCCTGGGGGCTGGGACGGAGCAGGCCCCGAGTTCACAGCTGGCCTTGCTGCCTCCCTCACCTGCTTCCTCAGGAGCAGAGCCGCTCTGGGCCGGTACATTCCAGGGCCCCTCCCCACCCCGCTCCTTCCCACAGGCCACCCACCACCACGGCCAAAAGGAATTTTTAAAAGATTTTTTCCTTGAAAACATCGAAGTAATCCTCCATGAATCTTATGCCCAGCAAGCCCAACTTGGGTCTTGTAGGACAGAGCAGTGTTTGCTCTCTGCTTCAGGCTGTTTTTCTCCTGTCACGCACTCCCCTCGTCATGCTCCACTCATTCTAACAGCCCCAATCATGTCAGTGGCCCTCCTGACACGCCGGACCCCGCCACGTCTTCAGAGGTCTACGTCTCCGTTGAGTCCCTGAGCTTCCTGACCTCCGGGGCCATTCCAGGCCTCTGTGTAAGGCTGCACCCCTCCCTCCTCCTCCCTTGTTTCCCAGGACCAGGCCACTGTCTGGCCCGTGGTCCAGTCAGTTCCAATGCTTGCTCTGTCCTCTTTACCATCAACTGCCTCCTGGCTTCTGCTTCTTTATTAGATGATTAACAAGGTCAAGCCTTTTGCATTAAAGAAGAAAGGAAGGAAAAAGGAAGGAGGGAGGGAGAGGAAAAGGGAGGGAGGGAAAAGGAACCGCCACAAGAAACATCCCACCATCCACCTCTCCTTGACCCACTTCTTCCCTTTCCCTTGGAAATATGTATTTAATACTTTCCAAGGAGCATTTTCCCCACGTTGGTGACATGACAGAAATTGTCACATATCTTTTCGAGGACAGGAAGCATCACGTCATAGCTTATTGCAGTGCTTTTCCTAAGTGGGAACATGAGTAACATGTGTCTTAGTACTGATGACATCTTAGATGTGATGGAATGTGACATGCTCCTTGAAAGAGGTCACTAAATCCCTTTTGTGTCTATCATGTGCTGTTTGATTCTCAACTATGGTGCTGTGGTTTCTGCTCCCACCCATCCACTGAAAAGCACGTCCCCACGGGCACCCAGGGCCTCCTAACTCTCGGAACCAGTACTTTTCAGTCCACATTCTGTGGGCCTACGTATTGCTTTTGTCGTCAGCCCCCTGAGACCTGCCAGCATGTGTCTACAGCATGCTGTCTGTCCTGCATCCTGAACTCCCTGTTGTCCTTTGGCCAGCCCACCTCCCATGCGCCCGCCCCTCCTCAGTCCCTGGGGCCAGGGCTCCTTGGCAATTACGTATTCCTCAGCCCTCTCGCTCTACGCTGGGCCAGTAGTGGCACTCTCACACTGGCTTCATCTGTCACCTGTGTGCCAAAGCTCTCGAGTCCAGTCTGTACTTGAATATCTTTCTCTCTGGGCATCAGCCTGCAGTATGATTCTCTCCTTGTATTTTCATTCCTTAAACCAGAGCCTCTCAACCCAAGGTACGTATGGCAATGGCTGGAGACATTTTTGTTGATTACAACTGGGGTTAGGCTGCTGGCATGTAGAGGGTATTGGCCAGGGATGCCACTAAACATCCTACAGTATATAGGACAGTCCCCCCCCCCCAACAAAGAATTATCTGTCCCCAAATGTCCTTTACAGCAAGGTTCAGAAGCCCTGTCATATGCACTTCAGACGGATAATGACCCTCTCTGAACTTTCTCATAAGCATCTTCCATATGGCATGCCATTGTATCCTGTTGTTTCATGTCTGTCCCTTCTCCTGGGCTAGAAGCTTGTAGACACACTGTGCTTTATTCCCATCTCCAGTTCCTATCAAGGAATCTGAATGGAATATTAGATATCTAGCTGTGCTATGAATTAATGGAATATGTAACTAATAGAAACTGTAAGTGCTCTGAAGACAGGACCATCAGAACCTACCACTGGTGTTGAAGAAGGTGGGAGCAGTGAGGGCAGAAGTGGAAGATTTGGGACAGGTGAGAAAATGTGTAGAGCCTAAGATCCCATGCATTCTCTGGCCGAGTGTGGGCTAATGCCTGTGGCCACACTGTGTGCAAAAGATAAAAAAATCCTAACAATTTAGATTCTATTACTATTTTTAAAGATTGTAAAGAGGTTGACTAAGTAGGTAGAGAAGGCATAAGCTAGGTCTACGTTGGTAAAGTGTGATTTAAAAATAGAAATCTTAAAAGAAAGATGAGCCCAGATAGTATTTGCAATAGTTAATACACTATGAAGTAAAACCAAAGGGGGAATACCACCATGAAAATAAAGAGAAAACCCTGGAGGAAAAAAGGATGAATAAGACAATTTGGTGTTAATTTTCCAATCTATTGTAGCATTGTCCTATTACATTCATATTTGGGTAATATATAACATCTTTGAATTCCCCAAATTACTTAAATCTTAGGAGACACCATATGGGTTGAAGCTCTACCATTTTACCTGAGACTGTGCTTCCTTTACAGAAGGCATCTTTTAAACAAAGCCGTGAGCTATACCTGTGTGCCTGCTCACACTGGCTTACGGGAACTTACAGGAGTGTGTCATAAGCCCCGTTCCCCGTTCCTTTCAATCAGCCTTATTTCTCTGATTTAATTTTGATTTGCTGCATGGCATGCATATTCATAAGCTGACAATTGATACCTAAGGTATGCCATAATTCCTATTTATTTTTCTAAATTTGTTTGGACAACTTATGTGAGGGATCTAGTTATGAAAGCAAAGAATTTTGGGTCTCTGGGAGGAAACTCTCCCTTGTGAAGTAGAAAAGTATGAAGCATTTCTGTGACTGTAGAGCCCCTGCTAGAGAACAGTCTCTAGCAGGTGATGAAGGTCTCTCCATCACCCACAGGATGGGCGATTCCCTAGGACCTGCGTGTGTGTGCATGTGCACAAGGGCAGCTTCCATCCCTGTAACCCTGACACACGACAACCAGTACCCGGAGCTGCTGGCTCCAAGGACATCCGCTGCTACTCAGGCAGAGGAAGGGGACTCTATTGGTGTCTTTTATGGTGATCTGGAGAATATTATTGAAATAAAGTATAAGAAAAGAGAAATAAGAGCAATCGTTTACATTTCTGTGTGAAGTCAGTTATTAAAGCCACATACAAGTAGGCTTTGTACTATGTCAGCTTTTCTGTTAACGTGTTATACCCTACACCCTTAAAACAAGAGGACAATATATAAAAGAGGGACAAGTTGTTGGCTGTTAAACCTTATTCATGTCCTTCCACACAGAGTTTGGCAAAGTGGTAACATTAGAAAAAATAATTATGGTTACAACCGGCATGCCCAGGCCCACCTGTCACCCCGCCAGCAGGGCACGTGAGCTTCTCAATCCCTGCCACCTGAGGGATGAGAGGTCTGGGTCTCAGAGCACAAGGCCACTTGGGCTGTATACGGGGGGTTTGGTCCAAACGCAGGCTCTCAATTTTTCTAAAGAAAGCACTCTTCCCAGGCAACTATGAATTAAATAAGCAACCCACTAAATTTCAGTACAAACAGCTTTTTATTGACATTGTAAGAAACATCGTTCTTTCTCTTCATTACAAAAAGACTAAGTGGTTCTGAAAGCAAAAGTCAGTCCATCTGTGGCGGCCAGAGGTGGGCATGGCGGGGCCACGCGGGCTGCAGGCAGACCCGAGGAAGGCCGGGCCACCACGTCTGGACACTACACCTACAATACTTAAATGTATTTACATGTCTTTCTTTTAAAAAAGGATTACACATTTTTTTATTTTTTAAAAATCTAAAAAAGATGAAAACAATGAACTTGTATTTTATCTAACACATTTGCAGAATACACAACAGTAACTTGTCAGAAGAGAACATCCTCCTATTGGTTCAAAACATGGGAGACCAGGTCACAAGACAGCTCGGACTCTCTACAATCGTGTGCTCTCGGCTGGCTGGGGCGCAGCCTGGAGTTCTGACGAGGCAACACCAATGGTCCCTCGCATCAACACAATCAACGTAAATAAGGCACATACATTGCAGGAATCAACAACTCTGGCTCAAGAGGACAAGCCGATGTGTGAGGAGCAGGGGCAGTCTCATCAGTTCTTTAAAAAATCAAACAAAATAGTTTGACAAGTAAAAACACATTTAGCACAACTGTTAAACAAGAGTACCATGTATGAGCCTTCATTACAAAGGAGGATGTGACCTAGTGAGTCGCTGGAGAGAAGGTTGGAGGCTGGGGTGCATCCCGCCACAGGAGACGCCAAGTCCATAGCGATCCACGTCCCGACAGGATGCTTCTGTGTGGCCCCAAAAGACCTTCCTGCCACTGACTGTCACAACAAAGCCATCCTTCTGAGATTTCCATAGTGAGAGAAGCCACATATTCAGCTATAGCATGAGTGTCCCCTGAAAATCTAAAGGCAGTAGCAAGGAAAACAAGTCTAAAAAAGAAAAAGTAAAGAAAGGGGGCAACCCAGAGAACCATCTCAAACCAAAGGAAACAGCAGAGGCACAAGATGACAACAGTGTCCATCTCAATCCCTGTCCATCCTTCCACATGTGGCAAAGATGACATGGGATTATGGGGAAAGGGAAATGCGGGTCACATCCAGGGAAAAGGTCTCAGACAGAGGAGGACAGGGATTGGGCCAAACCACAAGAGCATGAAAAATAAGACCAGGACCTAGGGATTTTGAGGTTCCTGGAAAATGATACTCCGAGAATGGATCATTGATTTTGTGACCAAATTGTGACCTGTTTGAGGGACACAGAAAAAGTCTTGCTTTTCCCATTGATCTGAGCTACTGAGGTAAGATCAGTAGCTGTCTTTTGCTTCTGGGCCCTATTCCACAGCAGATGCATCCTTTGACTTAAAAGAAGGTGCTGCATGTGGGAGGATGGCAGGATGTAAAGGAGAAATCTCAGCATCCTCCTGCTGATCTCAGGAACATTCAGTTGAAAGCAAACCCAACTATCTTAGCCACAAAGTCCCAACGAGAAATTCACCTCCCTGCTGAGATTCTTGGTCCAACTGAGAGAACATCAACATGAGAAAAATGGGCTGGTCCTAACATTGTTTGCATTATCTAATATTTTATTGTACCTGATTTTGTCTTTCTAATACTAATTTAAATGGCAGGAATAAAGAGAAAAAGTCACACCATTGAACCACAAATCACTTTGGATAAATCCAACTCCAGGATCAACGGGAAGAATACAGCAGGTAGTCTGAGGTGTTAATGCGTATATTTTTTAATAGTTTACATATTTTAAAAGGTAAAATTCTGGATAATCCATGTACTCTGTGCACACATAGTATGTCTTTTATGTGTATCCACTGCACATGGGAAGCAGCTGCACTTTTTAATCTTTAAATGTTTTAATCCAAAACAAAATGACAGGTTAAGTCCACACTAAGGATGCATAGAACATTTAACTTCTTAAATGGATGCAGCATTTAATAGATAAGGTATACAAGAAAAAGGCATCCAACAGCTACTTAACATCCTCCCTCGTCTCTCCAATACCAAAAATGGTCGAAGCAATTTATTCCAATTTTCATTGTATGTGAGCCTTTTCTGTTACAACCAAGTTTTATAAATCCCTGAAAATAGGGTGCTTAGAATAGAAGTAGTCCTTCACTATAGTGGGATTAATATGTTAATGACAGCTGGCAGCGAAGTTGTTTCAATACCTATATACTTGAAACTACTGTCACCAATTCTCAGTTATCTGATAACGGTAAAGAGATGGCGTTCATCAAGACAGCAAACCCACAAAGATTCCCGAAACGAATTCTGCCCAAAGCTTCAATCTATAATCTACCTAGCTTCTTACCAGAACAGATGAAAGAAGCGATGTGTCTGAGTGTCACCAGCTGCCCTTCCCCTCTCTCACTGGAGCTCTGAACAGCACTGAACATTCATGAACATTTATGAGGACTGACCATACACATGTACCCCACAAAGCACTCTATGGACGGGAAGAATATTAGATCCAAATTGTGAGCAAACTATCTCATTTCAAGAGCCCCAATTTCCACTTGTGTGCAATTGTCCAAGGTACGTATGCCCTGAACTGAATTAGGGGTGGGGAGCATGTCAGAAATCTGTGATCTATGCTGCAGTGCACCCACAAAAAATTCTTAAACTCACTATCCATATTAGGATTCTGGTGCCCATTGTAGGAATTAAAAAAATAAAACAAAACAAAAAACGCTGAGCATATGTAAAGGAAAATTTCAAAAGCTGGACATGTAACCCCGTGGTCAAAGGCATACAAATGCCTAGTTCCTTTGAGTAACACAGAAACATGTCAAATCCTTTAGTTTGACCTTTCTTTGAAAAGAAGGAAGAACATGCACATCACACATTTACACTGGTTTACTAAAAAGGGGGCAGGCTTACAGTTTTTTAAAAAGTGGGTGGTTTGAGTATAACAATACTGATTCGAACTGAAATGGAAGACAGTTTCTCCCTAGAATACTTTAGGGTTTTTCAGAGTCCTTTTCCATAAAAGGAATATACTTGAAACACATCCCAGTTAGATGAGATGAGATTGCTAAAATACATACAGAACTAAAAAAAAAAAAAAAAAACCAGCAAAAAAGTGAATCAATTTAATCTTTGAAACTCCTACAAAAGTTTCACGTTTATTGGCAGTCCTTTTTCCTGGCGCCTATTGCATAACTGCAAGGAATCTGCTTTCCTCTGCGAGGGAGGTCAGCAAAGAACTCATGTCCCCAATGGCCATGTTGGTGGTTCTCACAGACAGTGCTGGCAACTGCAGGGATGTCTGTGGTGTCGTGAGGCGGGACGAGCTATGGGAAAGGTTCTGAATGATACTTGGGCTCAGGGCTCCTGACATCAGGCTCGCGTGGTCCCCGTCATCTATGATAGCGTCAAAATCAATCTGCACCCCTTCCAGATCATGGCTGTCGAGGCTGTCAACTGTGCTTGTCACCTGGTTAGCACCTGGGGAAAGTAACTCAGAGTTTTCGGCACTGGTCCCCTGTAGCAGGCAATTGGCTTCTGAAATAGAGAACGAACCAGTTTTCATGTCTTGCTGACTGAAGCCAATGGTTTGGTCATAGAACTGACCAGAGTAACTCTGAACATTAGAACAGAGCTGATGGGGCTGCCCTGGCATCTCCATCTTGATGCCGTTCACCCTGCAGGTCTGACTTGTGTCACTGTGCTGTCCTGGCTGGAGAGTGAGGCTGCCCCTTGGCACAGCCTGGCGCCTGCTGCCTCCATAGCCGGCACATGGCTGGTAGCTCCTGACAGCTGCCAAGCTTGATGGCTGGCCCCCAGTGCTGGGAGGCCCCGGCAGGCCGCTCTCTGGCCCTTGATAGATGTGGATGTGTGAGGTAGCACTAACCTGCCCTAGCACCTGCTGTCCGGGGCGGCCTGCCCCCTGGTGGTGCATGCTTTCGCTGAGTAGCTGATGAGCCAAGTACCCCTGTCCCACCGGGTCTCGAGTTGGCATGCCAGTCACTGTGCTGCCAGCTGACTCACTGGGCACCACTGACAGGCTGAAATCCAGCTGGCTGCCATTCCCTTGCATGGTGGTGCTTCTCAGCTTTGCCGCTTGAATCCCAGCACCGCGTGCACTGTCGAGCGGGTCGGGGGCCCCGGGCTGCCTGTTGAGGCAGTTCCCATACTGCTGGACCTTACATGGCTGTTCATGGTAGGCATTTCCGTTGGTGCTGGTCCCACTACTGTGGCTCACCAAGTGCTCTGGGGCGCCGTAGGCACTGCCGTGCTCCCCAAGGGTCGGACAGACCCCTGTCCCTGATGGGCCAGCCCCGTTCCTTAAGGGATTCTGTGGGAGGACGCCCATGTTGCTGTAGAACCCGAAGGCTCGAGCTGGCTGTGCCGTGGACCGCTGGCCACACTTCAGCCTAGAGGAGGACAGGTCGGCACTGCCCGAGCTGACCTCGTTCCACTGAATGGGCAGGTCGGCTTTGCTGGCTTCGGGGCAGGGCTGCCCCAGCGCGCGGTACTGCTGGCTGGCGTGGCTGTCCGGCAGCTCCGGTGGGTCAAAGTCGCCGTGCCCGCTCCCCAGGCTGGGCCTATGGGCCACTTTGCCGTCTTCAGAAATGGCACTCTGGAGGTGCTGCTCACACCCGGCTTGGTTCTGGGAATTTAAATACTGCACCACGTCATCAGGCAAGAAATCCTCAGCATTCAGGTTCAACTCAGTGTCCATGGTCAGGGACTCCAGGGTGACGTTCTCAGTAATGCTCGGAGGGCAAGGAGACGCGTGCAAGTGGCGGGCCTGGCCACCCTCAGGCCGTGTGTAATTCTGAAGCACTAAGCTATGCTTGTCCAGGGATGGAGGCAAGACCGGAGGGTTAAAGCTGTTCAGGCTGTTGAAACGCTGCACCCTGGGCAGGGAGAGGCTCTCTGACACTGTCCTCACCGGGTCACTGGCTCTTCTCACACTGTGGCCCAGCGTGTCCTGGGGCAGCAGAGGTCGCCGGCCGTAACTGTGGGCGCCCCCGTCGCTGCATCTCCGGGGAGGGTGGACGGGGGGCAGGGCCCCCGCGGATTCCCTGCCGTCCCCAAGCAGGGCCATCCTGGTCTTCAGGCTCATCCTCTCCATGTTGGGCAGCGGCGTGGGCGGCGGCCCGCCCGTGGCGGCTGCGTACTTGGCCTTCAGGCGGTACTGCTGGGCCGGCGTGAGGCTGAGGAGGCTGGGCAGGCCGTCACACTGGCTGGCCTCACTGGACCTGCGCGAGGCGTCTGTGGAGATGGGGTCGTAGGAGTCGGCCACGCTCACGTTCTGGGGCCGGCCCTCGGCCTGGGACGCCTCGCTGGACCTCCGGCTGGAGAAGCAAGGGGAGATGCCCGACGAGCGCCGGCTGCTCAGGTAGGCGGAGCTGATGGTGCTGGTGCTGCTGTCCCTCCTGTTGAGCATGTTCAGCATGGTGACGTCCACCCCGGAAAGGTCGCCTCTGTTCGGGAGGAGGGTCATGGGCCCACCCAAATTACAGCTGTTACTGGTCTGGGTGCCTGCGGAAAGGGTGGCAGAGATGAATTCATTTCAGGAGGACTTCAAACAGGCCTCTGCAAACAGTAAAGGGCCAGGTAGTGACTGTTCTCAGTTCCCTGGGCCAGCTGGTCTCTGTCGCAGCTACTCACCTCTGCTGTGCAGCACCAAAGGACCACATGCCACAGTGAAGGAGTGGGTGTGGCTGGGGCCACAGGCTCACACGCTCAGGGACAAACTTCTGGGACCCCTGGCTTAAATGGGACAGTACGGACTTCCTAGATGGGTCAAGCTCCCCACAGGCCTAGCACAAGGACAGAGTGATGAGCCCAGGACATATGCACACTGCTGAAGTTACAGGCATGTCACAGGCCAAAGGCCTTCCAGGATTTCACATCCACACTCAGGGCCTCTGTCACAGCCTATGAACCTGAGTGGTGGGGTGGGGAGGGTCACCCTTGGGATGTGCTCCAGGCACTCAGTGTGGTCTCAGAAGCAAAAACTGACTTGGGCTGACAATGCAAAAGGTTGTTTGCCTTTCCCTGAGCTGGACAAACATCAGTAAGCTGCTGCTAACCTCCTGCTTTTAGATGTGGAAACGAGACAGGTGCCAAACACAGATGCCTCTGCTGCTGGGATCTCCTCATCCAGTCAAATAGTTAGGATTTCACCAGCAGAATGTGCATCATGCATAGTCTTACTTTCTGTTTCCATATTATCCTGTCACTCCCTGCTTCTAACCTATGGACCCTCCAGAAAGGCAACAGTAATATGGGTGGCTATGGCATAATTTTAGGACTGGTGGAAAAATCAGCAAACAGAATCAAGGGTCTGGTTCCTCTCAGGGGACTCTGGCTGCATTTCAAAGAACAGAAACCCCTGAGCAGAGGCAGAACTCACCATTTCCTATGAGAGGAGAGACCGCAGGGGCTTTAGAGGGTAGGATAGGGTTCAGTCGCGGAAGCATCCCATTCACTTGTTTGAGCCTTTCTAGTTTCACGTGCTCCATCCATTTGGTCCCTGCTGGGTTTCTCCTGGCTTGCAGAGCGAGGGCTGTGGTTGCAGTGGAAATGGTCGAGTCCATGATGGGGGTTTCGTCGATGGCACTGAGGTCTCCCACACCCCCTCCATCGGTCAGCGGAAGCTCGAGCCCACTGTGGGAATAGTGGCTGGTGGGGGACTGCTGGCTGCTGCATGAAGACTGACCACCAGGGCTTGGCTGAGATGTCTGTTGGGGGCAAGAGGAAAGGCAAGAAGTGTTACTGGGAGGAAAGAGGAAAGGAAGTCAGTAATGAGCGATGGTGCAGACTGAGACCTGCAAGACACTGGGTTGAATAAGAACTATGTTCTGGCAAATGGAGGCGGCCTCCTTGGACCACAATGACTGATGACCCACGAGGTGGATGTGCCATGGGGGGAAACGAACAGCAGGGGGTGCTGGAAGTGGTGGGACTGCCATGATATTAGCCATGGAGCCCTGTCCAAAACGCCAACTCTGCAAACACATCTCCACATCCCACATCCCAGATGTTCTCGAAGACAACTTAATTATCGTTTTGACTCGTGTAAATCCAAATCAGACGTGCACCGTCTTCTTTGAGGAAGATTGCTTCCAATCCCACATCCACGACTATTCTTTGGGCAAATTACTTAGCCACTCTAAACCTCAGTTTCCTTATACAGAGAATGTCAAAAAAAATGTATACACATTTTAAGAAAGGATTAAAATTGTAGTACTCAATATATACCGATAACAAAAGATGAATACAAATCATGTTTGACTTCTGCAATTACAAGAGGTGCTCAGAGCAGTTACCCTCAGCGTCCAGACACTTCTGATTACAGCGAGCTACTGCTTGAGCAGCGTTGACCCAAGTGTCCATGTGTATACATTTTTTGGCACCCCCGGTATATAAAATGAGGACAACTTACTTATCTTAGAGATTGTTGTGGTAATTAAGTATGAAGCCTCGAGAGTATCTCGGTATAAAAAAAGCCTGGAGTGGCTCGAGGAGCATCAGCAGTCATTATCATCCTCGGTGGCCTGTGTCTCGAGCTCACCCTGCTGATGGACACATGGTAGACATGCTCCGTAAGCACACACTACCTCCTCTTCAGAAACAGCCCCTCCAAGCTGTTCAGGGCAGGCTCCCAAGCTCCTTCTAACTTCTCCCCTTCCTTCTATATTTTTCCACTTTGTAGAACCCGGGCAGAGTGCGGGTAAAGGCAGTTGCAAGAGGTAAAACTTGAATCACTTAGCTTCTGCTGCACCCAGTGGGGAAGAAAGGCTGCAAGTCACAGCCACCCTGAGTTTGGAGAAGGATCTCCCCATTCTCCTAGTGTACCCCTCGCATTTCACTAGGACAATTGGTTAATGTTGCCCTAACCCCAACCAAGTGGACTGTGTAAGGCATTCTGCAGCTAGATGGGAACTTAATCCAGTCTACTGGTTCTCAGTCAGGGAAAGGACCCCCTCCAGGGGCTCCTGGGGAGCACTATATAAATCGGCCAGCCATGAGAAGTCCGTTCAACCTAAATCTGTTCTATCTAAAACCCCACTGGCACCCTGGTTGGTAAAAAGCCTACCCTTTTTCGTCCAGATAAGAAAAGTGATGTTCAGAGAAGCTGAATGACTGCCCAAAGTCACGAAGTCAATGGTGCGAACTGTCCAGATGCCTGGCACGTTCCTCTGCAGCACCTCCTCCAGTGTCACTCTAAACCCTGGAGCCTGACAGCAGCCACAGTACATGCTCTCCAGGGAGATAGAGCCACACGTGCTCAAGTACAGACACTGCCATCTCAGGTGGAACGCAACGCTGTCAGGAGGGGGTTGGGACACAGGTGCTCTCTGTGGAACCTGTTACACTTTTTCTGCCGCCACAGTACCTACACCGAAGCAAATGAACACTCATCAAGCAAGTCACCGCTACGCTAAGTGTGTCCTGGGCAACCAGCAGAGCAAAGCACGGCACACAAATCTGGTTCTGAGTTCAGGAAGCCTTGCTTGAGCTTTGGCTTCAGCAGCGTCTTGACCTGCCAGACCACCTGCTCCTTCCCAGGGCTTCTCATGCCCTTTATTCTGGATTGTCAAGTCACAATGTGTGCGTATGTGAATCTGTTTGTGTGGACACACACACAAGCAGACACACACTGCCACAGGGCACAGAAGAAGGCGTGGATCCTCTTACAATTAGATAAGAGCTTAAAGGAGCCCAGACATTTAAATATAGACTAAATTGCTAACAAAAAATATATCCAGATCTTCCTTAAAGAAGGTGATGCACGTCTGGTCTGGACTTACACTGGTCAAAATGATAACTTTGAAAACATCTGCTTAGTCGGCTCCAGTGTGATTTGTTATGAAAACCTAGACAAATAGAACAATGAATTTCACCATCTAACTCCACATTTTCACATGCTGAATGTTCAAAGTACAGTGTGTCTATGTTTGAAACATATCTAAGTAATGCTCACTACCAAAGATGTCACAAAGCACAACAACTAAAGAAAAATGAAATGAATAAAAGTTCAATGTTAAAAATGAAAACAAAACAAAAAAAGCAGAGAAGCCAAAATTCCCTCACCTTATTACCCACTGTCCTTAGGAAGTGAGAACAAGACATTTAGGACCATTACACAGAAGAGACGTTGGATTAGTAAGAAAAAAGAAGAAAGAATTTAATTTTTAGCATGATGATCAAATCAAAGACAAGATTTTACAGAAAGAATATTAGAAATGTAAATCTCATGTGCTTTAGTAAATGTCTGTGAAGATACCTACTTATATCCATACATGTGTGTCTATACACATACATAATAGTCTCCTGTGGAAATCTCAGTACTTCATTAACATCACTGATCCTCAGTTTGTAAAACATGGGGCCTACTCTCAGCCCCTATGATCTCTTCCAGCTCTGTGTTTCTATGATTTAATTACTTTTTAAAACACACATCTTGTGACAACTTAGATATCACTGAGCCAAACTGCCATAAATTTTTATTTCTAACAATTTTCTTTTTAAATAATGGAGAGGAGATGACAAGTTTTCTTGAACAAGGGATATACTTTAATGGTACAAGAGACTCCAGGTTCTTAGGATGTCCTAACAATATAAATCATTGTCTTTTGATGACATAATTGAGGAGACCACAAATTCACATCCTTATTTCATTAAACACTTGAGGATAAACTGTTGAATGTTCTGCACAATTATTACATGGGTGGACTTTATTTTAGGAAGTTGGTATGTGCTCCCAAGAAAAAATATATAAAGCACAGTTTATGACCTAATTAATTTAAAGTACAGTGATCAGTCATGATACACATATAAACTGTTTACTAAGGTGCTTTTTAATAGCAAAGTATAGCTACCCACTGGGAAGTAATGATAAATCTGGATAGTTTCTTTGCATTATTTTCAGCTAGACTTAATGTCACTAAGACTCACGAGAGTTCAAAGAACTCACGAAGTCATAAAAATTCAATAATTCATTGAATTCTATTCCATCATCTCTGGAATTACGTGTGCATTATTTCCCATCCATACACACTGCTGCACAGGGATACCACTCAGGAAGTTATGGGTGTCCAACCAATTGCTGGACTTTTCTAATGTGAAGGAAAGCTTCCTTAAACTGAGTGTAAATCTACCTGCCCGATCATTTCCATGCATCTGGAAGTCAAAGCATGAGACTCTTACCTGGTGTCATTCTTCCACCTCCAGAGCGTGACCGACCAGAACCCAACACACTTGCAGAGTTGACTCCATTTATGCGAGTACATGTGGCCAAATACAAATGTACTGCATCTCCTCTAATAGCTACTGTTTTTTCACTTTTCTTGTCTTTTAGAAAATCTTACATGTTTTATTATGGCACACACATAAAATAAAATCACCAAGTGAAGTTCGGAAGAAGCTGCAACAGGAGCATAAGCCATATGTCCTATTCGTCACTAAACTATAAAGACTTTTGCTGATGGCATCTTTCAGTCTCTTCTTTGCTCTCCACCTCTTTCAGGTACCACCGCAGAAAAGGTCTCCAGTCTATCAACCCAATCTCTAGACTGGCACTAGAGTTGTCTTTTCTAAAAAGTCAGCAG